TCAATGTTAGACGGATAAGGCGTCAATGTTAGATGATGCCATCGAGTATCTGAAGCAGCTGCAGTTACAAGTTCAGGTTTACATTTCTGTTCCCTCATAATATTTGGCTTGTGATTGTTCTTAGTAGCAATGTCTTTTAGTAGTCATATGCTCATTTAGTTCCATTTGTTCATTTTGTCATTTTCTTTACTGATGTAACTATTCCTCCTTTTGTGTCGATTAAGCTGTGTGTTAATGTGTAACTCCTTTTATCATCTGATTTTATTACTGGTTTGTCTAATGAAGTTATGGTTTCACTGTGCAGTTTAGATATGAAATATTAGATTGTAGAAAACTGAATTAGCCATTCTATATTAATACAATGGTTTCGCTGCTACTATATACTAAGACAATGGCTTTTGTTAGAAACTTGTCGGAGAGACAACACCCGATTGCCGGCGAGATCACGACCAAAACACAAGACAAAAGAAAAACTTGCGTGAATACAAAAGAACATGCTCTTGTTTGGTCTTGTTTGGTGCTCTTGAATTGGTACATTTTCTTGTGCTATTCTATTACTTAAATAGGAGAATACCAAGAAGCTAAATAGGGCCTATAAATCAAAATTACATGAAAACTATAATCAAGCAAATATTCACACTTAATATAGGAAAGCAACGTAGGAAAACAAATTTACTAGACGCACAAGAAATATATCCTATAATAAAAGATATGCTACAATTTCCTCCTAAGCCTTGTGCACATTAATGACATTGATGAGGCCGATCTTAGAGCACAGTTTATGTAACTTGGTCCTCCCAAGCGGCTTTGTCAGTTCACTCATGATGAACTCCACATTAATCAAGTTAGACTCCCGGAAAAAATGATATTTCACTCGAATATGCTTGCTCTGTCCATGGAATACTGGGTTCTTGATTAAGACAATGACAGACTTCTTGTCCATTCTCAACATTGGCGCTCTTCGTGTTGACCCCTACACCTCAGCCAGCACCTTAGCGAGCCACAATGCTTGACTAACAGTGTTCGTAAACTGCTATGTATTCCGCTTCATAGCTTGACTGTGCCACCACTTTCTGCTTCATTGATTGCCAGTGATCGGGCTGCTGTTGAGGAAGAAAATCACCCATGTTGTTCTCTTGCTAGAATCAACATTCCCATCATAATCGATGTCACTAAAACCCGTCAATTGAGCTTCCTTCTCTTCCTTCCTGCGAAACCAGAGTCCCCAATTATGGGTTCTTGCCAAATAACGCAGAATGTGCTTCACGACAACAAGGTGATCCTCACGTGGGTTCTCCAATAACCGTCTAACACAGTCAACAACAAAAGCCAGATCGGGGCGAGTATTAACCAAGTACCTCAAGTTCCCGACAATGCTCCTATATGCTGTTTGGTCGACTGCCGGCTCTAAGTTGAATTTGCTTTACTTTATTCGTGCCTCTATAGAATTGCTTTACTTTAGTCGTGCCGACAAGGATTGCACCCAACCATGCCACTCTTCTCCAGAATCTTGCAACATAGACGCTCTAGCTGAGCGAGATTCCCCTCGTGATCTGCTTCACTTCAATGCCGAGTTGGTAGTGAAGTAGGCCGAGGTCACTCATCTTGAACACGGCCGCCATCTCTTTCTTGAACGACTTGATGTCGCCGCTGCTCGAGCCAGTGATCACGAGATCATCGATGTAGACCTCGACCACCAGTTGCGAGTTGCCGTTTCGCCTAATATAGATAGCATGCTCTGACGTACTCCTCTTGAAGCCGAGCGACATCAGTGTGGCGTCAAGTTTTGCATTTCAGGCCCACGGTGCTTGCTGTAGACCGTATAATGCCTTCCGAAGCTTGAGCACCTTGTGCTCCTTGCCGGTGATAACAAAACCAACTGGCTGCTCGATGTAGACTTCCTCATGCAGGTCGCCGTTCAAGAATGCTGATTTGACGTCTATGTGGTGTACGTCCCACCGCTTGCGCGCCGCAAGGGCGATAAGGAGGCGCATTGAGTCCAATCTGGCAACCGACGCGAACACCTCGTCATAGTCAATGTCGTGCCGTTGTGGGTAGCCCTTCACCACGAGGCACGTCTTGTGCTTGGTCACCGCCCCGTGCTCGTCCATCTTCACCTTGAACACCCAATTCACCCCGATAGCCTTGCGGTCAGATGGGAGGTCGGTGAGGCACCACATACCGTTCTCCTCGATGGACTCTATCTCATCCATCATTGCCTTCATCCAACTGAAATTGCGCTTTGTCTCGACGATTGAGGTTGGCTCGTCGGCGCTCACCGCGTGCAGCTCTTCCAACACCTGTGCACGCGGTTCAAAGCCTCGTGGCGAGGCTGACCCGATGATGTCGTCGACGCTGTAGAACTGGAGAGGCGCGTCGTCGTCATAGTCGACATCCAGGTTGGCGTCGTCGATGTCGTCTTGTGAACAGGGCTCCAGCGCATCCCGAGCCGTGTTGGGATGCGACGATTGCTCTCCTAGCGCTCCTCTTCCAGGCACCTCGACATTTTCATCAACCTCATGGGTGGCTTGGCCTATGGTGGCATACTCCACGACGAACACATCGTCGTCGCCACTTGGCTTGCCGTCGTTGTCGCCGGTGCCCCAATCCCACATGGCTTGCTCGTCGAACACCACATTACACTTCAAGTGGGCATGCATTGGTGCTGCTCGTAGTCGATGAAGATCATCTTGCCGCGGTCCTCTAGCTTCTTCAAGTGTGCTGTCGTGTTGTGCACCTAGACGATGGAGCCAAACGTTCAGAGATGGTGCACCGCCGGCCGTGCCACGCCTCGACTTGTGTCATACCCTCCACGCTCTTGGTCGGGCACTTATTCAGCACATACACAGCGGTGTTGACCGCCTCACCCCAGAACCATCTAGCCAGTCCCTTGGTTTTGAGCATGCTCCTCGCCGTCGCTACCACCGTGCCATTTCGGCGTTTGACTACACCGTTTTGTTGTGGGCTATAAGGCGCCTTGTGCTGACGGTGCACGCCCTCAACCGCAACTACTGCAAACTTGGTCGCAGTGAACTCGACCCCGCGATCAGTGCGGAGCGCCTTCAGTTTGACGCCAAACTCGCCTTCCGCCCGCATTTGAACCTCCTCGATGGCAGTCACGACACAATCTTTTGATGGAATCGCGGCTACCTACATGTATCTGCTGAAGTTGTCCACCATCAGCGGAAAGTACTTGCTTTTTCTAGGAGTCGCCGGCGTGATGGCCGCACAAGTCACCATGCACCATCTCGAGATGCTGCCGTGCACGGTACTCTGCTTGCGTCGGGAACAAAGTCCGCTTGTGCTTCGTGGCTTTGCATGCGTCGCACAGCTGTCCGACCTGTCCAATCTCTGGAAGGCCACGAACTACTCCTCCCGAGCCAACTTCCTGAGCGCTGACATGTTGATGACATGTTGACATGGTTTCGAGGTGCTCATGCCAACGCCACACCATTTCGTCGCCGCGCCTGCGCACCGCCAAGAACGATGACTGCGCCACCTTGATAATTAGCTTGTATAGGCGGTTGGCCGCCCGCGTCCCCTTCGCCAACAGCTGTCCGTCGGGCTCCCTAATCTTCAATACCCCGTCATCGATGCTAACCTTGTAGCCACCTTGGTCTAGCTGCCCTAGGCTGATTATGTTCGTCGTCAGTCTGAGAATGAAGTAGACGCCGAAAAATAACCGGAGCTCGTCGTTCGTTCACGTGAATACAACGGTGCTCTGGCCCTCGATCCATGCCATTGAGTCGTCACCGAACCGCATAGCGCCGAGTACTGTTGTGTCCAGCTTCGAGAACGCGGCCCTGGATCCGGACATGTGGTTGGTGGCGCGGATGGCCATGACTCAAATCTATGCCTCCCGCTCCTTTTCTTCGTCAAGATGGGCATACACTTTCTTCTCGCGAATCACGATTGGGGCGCTTGATCCCGTAAGCGCCGCTCCAGATTCTGCAGCCACCCTGAAGTGTTGACGGGGCGAGTGCCGATGCTCCGGCTGGCTGTGCACCCTTGGACGTTGATGGCGGCGATGGGGACAGAGGACTTCACGAGCATGTGCGACGCCTTATCTTAATTTGGTGCCACATGGGCTTGTACCTTCTTGGGCTTCGATCGGCACTCGCGAGCCCGATGGCCCTTCTTTCTGCAACTCTGCATTCGTTGCCGGCTGATCGGTGTGAATTTGATTGCCTGCCAGGTGACGAACCTCCGCGACCACGCCCACGCCTGCCTCCGCTGTTTTCGCTGCCGTCGGTAGAGGTTGCCAAATGGCGGGCCGGGTCACGAGCCCGCCGGCCCGGTGGGTCGCGGAGCTTGAAGACATGGACCCACCCGTTTCTAGGCTCGGGCCGGGCTAGGCCCGACCTAGCTCTGGAGCCCAGTTAAAATTTGAGCCGGGCTTGGACTCGTGGTCTCCGAGCTGGGTCGACCTATGGCCACCTCTAGCCGCCGGAATAGTTATTCGCTTCGCACTTCCGTGAGGTACAATTTCACTTCGTGCTGCAGCGATGCTGGAGCTTCATACCCTTTCTCCGCCTCCTTCAGTCGCCCACTCAGTTCGGCGACCGTCATGTTCGACACGTCAAGTAGTGTTTTAATCGCGATTGATATCTGCTTGAACCGAGGCGACAAGGTGTTGAGTATCTTCGCGACGATCTTGCTCTTCACCAATTCCGCGTCCAGCGTGGCAAGGTGTGCCGCCATGCCGTTCAGGCGCAGTGCATTTTCCTCGACAGTTTTGCTACCTTCAAAAGCGATGAGGTCGAATTTTTTACGTAACTGCTGAGCGATCGACCTCCTGACGCAGTCGTCCCCGGCCTCCATCATTGTCTCCTTTTTTGCGATCGTTGATACCATCTTCGGTGGCACCGCCCCGCAAAATGCGTCAAGCGCCATCATCTCCTCTTGTGAATCGGCGCTGCAGTCTGCGATCACGCACACAGAGAGCCCTGGCCTTCAACTTGACCTTCATTAGGAGCAGAGTAATTGGTCTTGGTTAGAACAGAATAACTCCCACCGCTCACCTCACGGATCACTCGCTGGATCACAATGTCGTCCTTTGAAGAGCCTTCGACGTTCTTCTTCTTCTTCTCACTTAGGTACAAGTAGCTCTGATGCCACTTGTTAGCAACACGTCGAGAGACAACACTCGGTTGCCAATGAGATCACGGGCAAAACACAAGACACAAAAAAAAAAAGGAAAAAGAAAAAACTCACGCGAACACAAAAGAACACGCACTTGTTTGGTGTTGTTGAATTAACACATTTTCTTGTGCTATCTTGCTTAAATAGGGGAATACAAGGAGCTAAATAAGTCCTACAAATGAAAATTATTTGGAAACTATAATCAAGCAAATATTCACACCTAATCTAGGGAAGCAATTGTGGAAAGCAAATAAACTAATTAAAGTGCACAAGGATTATCTTCTATATGCTACTGCTTTGTCATATGCTAATCTAAGACTATTTTATCTCCACATAAAACTATTTTTATCCCCAACCCAACCCAATAGTTAAAAATTATTTCTTTCTCCTACACCTACACAACCCAATTTATCTTTATTCTATACCCAACTCAACTTAAATATTTCTCTTATTTTAATTTATTTAAAAATTACAATTGTGTTCCAAAAGATATCAAGTGTGGTGTTTGTTTGTAGAGAATGAAAAAAAAATATAAATTTCATTATTTTTTTTTTTAAATTAAAAAATTACACTTACCCAATTAAAATGGAGAAGTGTTCCATTTTCACAAAGGAAGGTCGGGACCCATGTGACCTGGGTTGCTGAATTGATGACCCTTCTTTCTTTCTTTCTTTATTTTTTTTCCTTCTTTCTTCCTTTCTTTCTTTTTAATTTAATGTCGTGACCCACTCACTGGGTCACCGATAAAAATGGCCCAAGTATCTGTGAATTCTGTCGGGAAAAAAGATTCCTTATGAAGGTTGCATGTAGCTGCGCTAGTTATATCTGTGAATATGATCTCCCACATTCAGTTAAAAAGTACGATAACTACAAAGACTGCTCTTATGTTTAGTATAACTAGTAATTACTAGACACCTTGTTAATTTTGTTGAAAAATGAAATAGCACACACTTTACATGTGATTTTTTTTTTTATCCTGAGTAGTGTGTGCTCTAGCAAGGAAATGAATGTATTTTCAAGAGAGGTTTCGCACAAAGTGTGCCTTTTTAATTGGCGGACGACGTCTGTTTTACAGTTTGCCGTAAAAAATAGGCACCAAGTTAAACTAACTTAATTTACTCTCATATATTACTTGTGCAGATGCTAACTATGAGAAATGGAATGAGTATACATCCAGGATACGCACTCGGATCGCTACCATCGACATTAGCGGGCCCACAAGAAGAGGATCATCTGGTTAACGGGAATTCGTTTTCAGATTCAAACAGAGGGTCGAGCTCACTTCTTATGCAAAACACAATGGAGAATATTAATCAAGGCCATTCGACTCAGCATATCACTAACAACACTTCTAATTCGGTCTTTTTACCGAGTATTACTCCATCATTCGAGAACCATTATGGCCATTTTTATCATTTGTCTGTCCCAAAGGGGGAAAAGAAATGATTGTTTGGGGTTCGAGTCGGGAATAATAATGGTTTCATTCTGACGACCGACATTTTTTTTTTTCATTTTCTTCTCAACTCTCTTTTTACATATTTCAGCAGGGTACTTGTGAAGATGATACACTGTCGAGGTTGCAATTAGACTCGACTTGCTCGAGAGACAACTCGTCACGATCTCGAGATGTTTCGTTGTGATTAAACGTATTATGGGATTAGAAGGTGATTACGTGTTTGATTCCGGTTTAATAATTTAGGTGGTGGGAATTGAATAGCAAGGAAACCATTGTTATTACAACAATGTTATAAAGGAATGTGCTACTCTGATGAGATTGAATCAATTTCAAGAGCTACTTACTTTGTCATACTGACATTATGTCTATCATTGTTGACAGTCTTGCTGTGACTATGAAAGCTTTCTCAGCTTATATCTTAACTCTGTCTAGAGGTGTTAACTTCAAGGTTCTCAAAACGGTATCTGCCATCAAATTGGCCGAGTTACTGATTTAATGGATTAAGGAGCGAACAAGTGGTTGAATCGGTTGGATCGATATTTAATTTATTAATATTATTAAATATATATAATACTTTATTAATAAATTTTACAACATCCATATACTCAACCAATTCATAAATAATTTACACAAATCTATTATATTTTACTGAGTATTTATTTTAGACTTTTAGTATATATTAATATTTATTTATTTTATTATTTTTTTCTAAAAAAAGCTCTGACCCAGTCCAACCAGTCTGGCAATCCAGTTTTTGGCAAGTTGCTCGGTTTGCTGGTACTAGTTTATTCCAATGGCCTGTTTTCGATCTAACCTATTGGACTTGCCGGTCTGGTCCGATTTTGAAAGTCGTGGTTATTTAAGCTGAGCTGAGTAGCTTATGTTCGAGCTCAATTTTTTATTTTTTTTTTTATATTTTACTGACACCAGTATAGACAATAACAAATCAAAATTAAAAAACCCTAAACCTTAAGCCTAGCTTGACTTGTTTATTAAAGAGTTAATTGCTAAATAAACCTTAACATATTTGCGTTTGACAATTTTATCTTAATCTTTGGGTAACTGCAATATAATCATAACCTCAATTTACTTATTGCAAGTCGAACCTAAAACCGGTTGGAACTTCAAAAAACTGGTCGATTTGAAGGCGACTGGAATAGATAGGAGCTCATATTTACCGGTTTACTCCAGATCTAGGAGGAGACTCATCACCGGTAGCTTACATTGACGTGGAATTTTTGGCTTTGTGCGTGGATATACATTAAATACATGAAAATTGTCAACTTGCTACGTGGATGACATAAAAACCCGTGTCAATGGAAGACTTGGACACAAAATCGATCCGCAAATCCCTAAAATCAATCACTCTGCACCCAAATTTGTAATAAATAAATTGAAGTCGAGATTATATTGCAATTACCTAAAAAGATTGGGATAAAATTGTCAAACGCAAAAAGGTTAAGGTTTATTTAGCAATTAACCCTTTATTAAATGAACAAAAGGTTCGAACTCGGCTCTTCCAATAATCCCAAATCCTTAAACGAATTGTTCCCAATTTGACATGTTGTTTGGGTGCATTTTCACTTGACCGTTGTTCGTTAATTATTTTTGCTATTTGCAAGTATACGGCGTAGCTATATCAAGCCGCGAGAAAAATCATATGTCATAGAGATTATAGTCAAATTAATAAAATATCAAAATAACAATTATTAAATATTATTTAAATTACCACTAATTTAGAGAATGAATTAATTATGAACTAATAAACTAAACTTCAAATGAATGTAACTAATAAAGGCTCGTCGAAAATTATGAAATAAACAAGATAATAAAGGTAGGCTAAACTTACCTCGAAATTAATTCTTGAAATAATTCAACTCATCCATTATTAAATTAACTTTTCTCTCAAACAAGCTAAATCATAGATTCAATGTTGCTTATCTCCTCTTAATCTTAAGATAAATACTCAACTCCCTATTTTACAAGTATTTTCGTTCTATCATAAGATTCTACCAACATCTCAGTGTATTTACTTTCTTACGTTATAAATTTTGCAATTCTACTAATCAATTATCACCTTTCAGTCTCAAATGGATCTCAAATATGCATTTATGGTGGTCACCTATAAAATACACACAAGAAACACAAACAAGAATGAATTGAATAAATATTATAACAAAATTCAATCAGAGTAATAATAAATTCTCTAACTTATGATAAACTTACCTAGAAACATGCTTATGAAACCAGAAAAATATTGATAAAACAATGAGTCCGAAAAGAGAAAAAAAAAAAGAAAGAAAAAGCTTGTTCGGCTCGTTGATCTCTTCTTTCCCATCTTTTTGGCTCGTCTTGTACTTGTTCCTAGCCTCCGAAAGATCTTTAAACATTGAAAAACTCCCTAGAATCGTCTAATGTTCCTTATATAATTGGGTTGAGTCATAGTCGAAATAAGATGAAAAACCCGTTGAAAAGAAATATATTTAAAATGCGTCAGACATGGTTAACTCGCGCCCAGGTTCCACATGGTAGGCATGTCACACGAGCCACACGAATTTGGCGAAAATTCCAAGAATTCGTATTGTCACCTTCAGTTCTAACATGACTCTTTTTGGACGTCATACGAGTCGTGTGACCCATAGCTGTCCAAAACAACTCGAAATCTCATTTTCAGCGCAAGTATATGCTCCTACTTGATTATCCGACATCCTAGTCGGCTTAAGGTTGTCACATATGGTGGTTTTCTCACCAAGTACAGTGATGAGGCGACAACATGATTTTTTTTTTTGACGAGAACATGATCTTATGCGAGCTTCTCTAGCAATCAGAATGGTGTATTGACGTCCCTCATGTCTTCATAAAGGCCGGGAAGTTGGTGGGAGTGCAAAACGTACAATTGTTATTCAAATCAAGTTGTCTGCTAATATAGTTTAGTTCGACTTGTGAAAGCTCAACTCACTTCTATATTTAAATGACCCAAACTCGAGTAACTATTCACGCTTGTCTATAAGTCGAATTTAGTGTGTTCACAGTTTGGTTAGAGTTTTGGGTTTTTGTCTAGTACTTAAAGTTTGTTAAATAAGTCGTACCCGAGTTTATAGCTTGTCGAGATCAATACCCGACCTCTCCAACTTATGACCATGAACCCTCGAGGTGTCTCCTCGTATCCGAGCTTTTGGAGGTCGCAACCTCTAGGTCGTCTTTAACAGGTCACCTAGTACCTCAAGCTTCATCCGCGAGCTCCTTGACTAGGTTACCTTCTTTTATCAGGTTGGAGTTGATCTAGACCGGCCTACACCAAGTTGACCACTCAAGTCGGTCTGCCTAGCAGTTTGGGGCTACATCGATATGATCCCAACTCTCTCTCTCTCTCTCTCTCTCTCTCTCTCTCTCTCTCTCTCTTTGTTTGCCTCTCTCCCTCTATCTCTCTCTCTTTGTATTATATATATGGTTTGGATCAAATGACCTCTGAAAATGTGAGGCTCAATCTAACCATTAAATAAGAAACAAAATGTTTATCCAAGAATTGATATTTTTATTCTTTTGATTATTCAAATATTGATTTGACCCGTGACTCTGACTTTTGACGTAGATCACAGGCATTGGCCGTTGACATTGGGCCAAACCATCGGTGTTGTTGATCATAGTATAAATTATGTTTAAAGTAAATATGCATTGTGTATGAAGTATATATACATTAAAAATATGCAATTGTTATGAACCAAATATATATTATATATGAACTACATAATCATTTTTAAATAACTAAATGCAAGGGATATCAACTAAGTATGCATTATTTATGAACTAAATGCGCACGATGTATGAACTAAATATGCATTTTGTATGAGTTAAATGTGTTGTCAAAATATAAAATTGAGAGAATTATCCTGGAGCCTTACTTCTGGTAAGTTTACATTATGTACGAACTAAATATGCATTGAGGGCCAAATGTTTCAATAAAAATATGAGAAGAATTCAATCGATGAAGAAGACCAAATGAAGGGAAGTACGAGGGATGATCAATGACAGGTTGCTGGGGGACTTCTGAGGTTTGTCGGGCTAAAGTTCAGCAGTGCAACATTTAAGAGCAGCAATCTCCAAAGTATTCTTATTTCTGGTACTTGTGCTTAATGTGACTGAGAGGAGATGCACGCTAAGGATTATGGCCCATCCATTCAAATGTCGACGTGATGTTTTAACTGAACTCTGTACCCGATCGAGCATGGCTTTCCCCAATACCTTTTTGGGATTTAATATAAAAAACAACTTTTTCTTTTCCCTTTTTATTGGTTACAATGGACCACGAGAATTCATTTCTTGTGAGGTAGAAATATGTGAATTTGAATTTTTATAGGTAGGTTTTGGAGGATTGGGATTTCGAGGTACATTTTGTAGTATCTGGTAAATGAACCATATATATCCTCTAATAAATAAAGGGTTACTATGATTTGGCTAATATTCTTGGGAGGAGTAGTATGATCCTCGTGGTTGGTTACCACTATGGTTATTAAAAGAAAATCTTTTTGTTGTATCAATAACTTGAATTCTTGAAGGGAAGGTTACACCAAGAAAACTATGGTTACCACTATGGTTATTAATAGAAAATCTTTTTGTTGGATCAATAACTTGAATTCTTGAAGGGAAGGTTACACCAAGAAAACTAAGGGTCCTCATTCTAGCGCCAATAAGTTAACATGTGGATTTTAATGAAGTAGATTTCAAAGGATTGGAGCGTGTGTAAGGAATTTTATAAGGAGATTGGCACGAAGGATAGACATTGTATTTGTAGTGTTATAAGCAGATCATTAGAAAATAAGTATGAGTATTTATTGTTGTTATAATTGCTATGTGTATTTATTGAGAATGACTCTCTTTCTCTCTCTCTCTCTCTCTTTAAAATTTATATAGGGTGA